GCTAAGGGCAGCCCACTGAGTTCAACAGATTCCTGTTCCGCCCCTTTCTCGCCTGGGCAGACCCCTTCCCGACTCTAAGCCTCAGTTATCACGTTTATAAAATGGGGAGTCCGTGCCATTAGAGCCACCTCAAAGACTGCTGTCACGATGGAATGAAACGTACATGGAAAGTGCTCAGCACGGTGTCAGCACGCGGTTCATACTCAACTCTGGTAGCGATTATTGAGCAACAATACTGATAATAATGATTCAAAGGGGCTGCTGTGGGCTGAATTGGCTCCCCTCAAAAGATACGTTGAAGTCTTAATCCCCAGAACCTGTGAATGTGATCTTATTTGGAAATAGCATCTTTGCAGATGTTAGCAAGTTAAGACGAGGTCGTACAGATTAGGGTGGGCCCTAAAACAATGGCTGGTGCCCTTATAAGGAGAAGATTTGAAAATATAGAGACACACAAGGAACCCGGCCACGTGAAGAAAGAGGCAGAGATGGGAGTTATGCTACCGTAAGTCAAGGAATGCCAAGGATTGCTGGCAACCACCAGAAGCTAGAAGAGCCTTGTTTTGACACATAGGTAATGTCATGTGTCTACCATGACAGTATCATACGGAATAGTTTCAGTGCTCTATAACAATTTGCTCTTTTTTCCCCACTTAGTTTTATGTTTCTAAGATCCATCAGTGTTGCTACATATAGCTACAGTTTAGTTTTTTTCCCACTGCAATATGACTATCTCTTCATTTATCTATTCTCTGGACAATGAACATATAGGTTATTTTCAATTTTTTGCTATTATGAATGGTGTTGCTTTTAATTTTCTTGTACTGTCTTCTGTTTAAAACATGCAGAAATATATCTTTCCTATATAACCTGAGGGGCCCTCGTGGTGCAGTGGTTAAGAGCTTGGCCGCTAACTAAAAGGTCAACAGTTGGAATCCACTAGCGGCTCCTTGGAAACCCTATGGGGCAGTTCTACTCTGTCCTATAGAGTCGCTATGAGTTGGAATTTACTTGATGGCAACGGGTTTGGTTTTTGGTTTTTATATAACCAGAAGTGGAATTGCAGAGTCATAATATAGATATAAATATATAAATGGAGGGAGCATGGCCCTGCCACCACCTTGAATTTGATCATGTAGACTCCAGAACTGTGAGGGAATGAATTTCATTGTTTTCAGCCACCCAGTTGGTGGCACTTTGTTCCGGCATCTCTAGGAAATTAATATAGAGGGGTTGGGTCCCCAGTTCTAGCTGTCCGTCATCATCTGGCCCCACGAAGAGAGCAGGACTGATTGAGACTTACTTCCAGCGACAGTGTGCCAAGAAGCCCCATTGACCGTCCCGTCTTCCTTCTGGAAGTCTTCCGTGTGGCAGACCCTCCTGCGGGCATCCGTCATGAGGCGGTGCGTGGAGGCGTAGGAGTAGGCCAGCCAGCGGAACACGTGGTCATCGGGCGTGGGTGTGTGCTCCTGGGTCTTCCACAGCGAGCGCACCATGTCGTAGGGGTATGCCACCACCAGCTCCCCGCCTTGCAGGTTTCCACCCAGCACGAAGGGGATCTTTTCCATCCACGCAATGACCGCCCTGGTCTCCACTGCCACCTGTGAACATGCATACATAAAGAGCACTAACAAATAAAAGAAGAAGATTTCTTTATCACCCCAGTTCTCCGAAGGGAGATATATTGAGAAAGCAATAATTTTATGGGATAATCCTAACAAAACTTGGAATTTCACAATCTGTCCCGGGAAAACTGGACTTTGTGGAAATCATGGGTCAAAAGGAGGGAAATCATTTGATTTTATTTGATTTTGATCTAAAAAACGGAGGGTGAAGCAACTGTCTTCTTTGTGGTTTTGCTGTTTTATTGTTCTTTGATAAACTTTATTTTTTAGGACAGTTTTAGGTTTACAGAAAAATGGTGCAGAAATCAGAGTTCCCATATCCCCTCTTCCTCTCACTGCAGTGGTTTTTCCTGTTGTTAAGATCTTGCAGTCATGTGGCACATTTGTTACAATGGCGGAGTCAATATTGATATTATTAACTATAGTTCACAGTGTACATTAGGAATCATTCTTTGTGGTGTACAGTTCTATGGGTTTGACAAATACGTAATCTCACGTGCCCCCATGACAGTATCATACTGAAGAGCGTCAATGTCCTATAACAATTTGCTTTTTTTCCCACTCAGTTTTGTTTCTAAGATCCATCAGTGTTGCTGCATATAGCTATAGTTCAGGTTTTTTCGCTGCAATATGACTATCTCGTCATTTATTCTGGGGATAATGAACGTATAGGTTATTTACAATTTTCCACTGTAATTAACAGCTTTGCTTTTAATTTTCTTGTAATGTCTTCTGTAAACCATGCTGAAATTTATCTTATTTATCTTGCCTATATAACCAGAGGGGCCCTGGTGGCACAGCAGTTAAGAGCTCGGCGACTAACTAAAAGGTCAACAGTTGGAATCCCCTAGCCGCTGCTTGGAAACCCTGTGGGACAGTTGTACTCTGTCCTACAGAGTTGCTATGAGTCGGAATTGACTTGATGGCAACGGGTTTGGTTTTTTGGTTTACACAACCAGAAGTGGAACTGCAGACTCATAAGATATACAAATATTCTACCTTACAAGGTCATCAGATTATTTTCCAAAGTTATGCTAGTTTACACTCTCGCCCATGATGGAGAAGACCCACTGGCCTTGCCCTCACCCACACTTGAGCATTATCAGACTTCTTAATTTTGCCAATCATTTTTTTGAGGTTGCAATGTGCTTGCCTAAAATATATCGTTTCCCCACCCCTAAAGTGGGGTGAAGGAGCCCTGGTGACACAATGATTACGTGCTCAGCTGCTAACTGAAAGGCGGACGGTTCGAACCCACAAGCGGCTCAGAGGGAGAAAAGACCTGGCAATATGCTCCTGGAACGATTACAGCTCTACTCTGTCCGTGTAAGGATTACAGCCTAGGAAGCCCTACAAGGCAGCTCTACTCTGTCCGTGTAAGGATTACAGCCTAGGAAGCCCTA